CGACGTTCCGGGCGGTGGCGAAGGAACGAAGAAACGAACGAGGCACACATTAAAACGGCTCGAAAGAGCGAGAGAAAGAGCGCTCGAAAAATAACTCTTTCAAATACTAACGATCGACGATCGACCTGACGAGTCTGAAGGTTTCTCGGACTGGCCTCTGCCGAGCAGTGCACATACTAGTCAGCTTTCTCATGGTGCGCTTCTAAAGTTACTGCCCTTGGCAGAAAACCAGGGATGCGTGCAGATCATGGCACCATTATTCGCATTAAATCTAGTTAACTGATGTCCAGTCGTTGCACGAGATCGTCCGTCGAACCGGAATGCACTTCAAGATACAAGCCGCCGCCAAAGTCGTGTCCCTGCAGCGGACTGGCGGACCAGGCAACAACTGCATGCTAGGAGTTTGTCGAAAAATGTGGCGCTCGAATTAAGACGTCAAAAAGAGATTAAGAAGCAAAATGCGCCGCTAATCGGAAGGGAACAAAACTATCTTAACCCTTGACATAGTCAATGATAGCACTGAACGAGCCCGGCGGTGCCGAACAGAAACAAATCTCCGACCCAGTACACTTCCACCCGAAGTAAGGCATCCGGCCGGGGAATGCAGCACATCAACGCCATCGTACTCACCGAGATGTCGTCGCATTGAGTCTCTGCCTCGTTCGGGTAGGCGAAGATTTTCAACTCTTGTATTGCACCCTTAAAACACGAAAAACGTAGTTTAGAGAATACTCACTTCGTCCAGAGTCAGTGTCGCCTGCTTAGGGATGTCCGGCTGGCCAGAAACGACCGCCACGCAAACGATGGAGTACAACAAACCGATGAAGAGGTTCATGCTTAACAACGGTGCGGCACGTCGTTCCTGCATACCGCGGTATAGACACTGACGCGAGCAGCCTTATTACGAATGCAGGACGTGAGGTACGGCGGATCTGAGAGAGTAAGACCACTTTTAAATGAGCGCATATAAGTGCGGGCGCCGACTGATCAGCGTCAGAGCAGGAGAGGAAGCGAGGCGCGACGTGAGAAGTGAAATGACTCAGAGATGAAGTTCAGGCAATACTGATCTTCATCGGGCCGCAGTTTCAGTGACAGACCTTCGATGATCAATGCGTTAGTCAGTTTTTACCTGGAGTTCAATGAAAACGTGAACGTTAATAAAGTGAGAAGATCTAGCTAATGAAGTAGGTGGAGAAACGTTCGATTCGCCGATCGTTGCTGTCAGCCAGAGCAGTAGCACCTCGGGTTCGTCAACGCTCGGCGCCTCTTCTTCGTGTGCCAATACTCTCGAAGCGATTCAGGATCGGGAGAATATCGGTGCATACGGTTCAGTTACAATGCAGTTGCTGTGAGTCGAAAACTAGTACCCAGGATCATATTTGGACGAAACG